CAATATTGTATAACTGTATTAATTCAACTGTGAATCTAGAAACTTACAGCCACTTGTGAAAGAGATGTACTCTTGCTTTGGAGTGTGTTACCAAATATGTTAAAAATGTAATGAAATGTTTCTTCTTGCTTCTTCTAATCATGTAGTTATTAAAAATTAAAAAAATAATTCTTCAAACAAAAAAATTTGCTCCTTAATAGTTAGTAGATGTGAAAAACATTGCCATTGAAATCTACCTGATGACTTTATATCCATGCTCAGATGCCAAGGAGCTCAGAAAGTAACCGACTGTGGCTAGTAATAATCAGATATATAGAGATTAGAAACGCATGTGCAAACATCTTAATATCAATTGCATTAAAATGAATTTTTCTGTATGAAGCTGTATTTTAATAATGAAATGGAGATCTTTTTTAAAGGTTAAAACCTCATTTAATTTTATATCTTATAGGGTTTATACTGAGTACAATATTGTATAACTGTATTAATTCAACTGTGAACCTAGAAACTTGCACCCACTTGTGAAAGAGATGTACTCTTGCTCTGGAGTGTGTTACTGAATATGTTAAAGCTGTAGTGAAATGCTTCTTCTAAGTATGTGGTTATTAAATAAATAATTAAAAAAACAAAAAGAATAACAAAAACACAACAGGCCTCAATTGAGGCAGATTGATCAAAATAAACTACCAATGGTGCAAGAGAGTACTTGACAGAAAACAGAAAGGTGGTCAAAGAGAAGAAACTTCACAGTTATTTTTTTCTGTATGTATGAAATGGATGTCTCAACAGCTGCTCTTTGAATTGTGAAGAAAGTGCCCAGCAAAGATGTCCACTGGTGACTCTGGAGGACAACCAGAGCTTCTGGCCATGTGGGCCCTAAACTGCATTCTGCAATCTTGGCCTTGTGTTCCTTTCTGCTCCCAGAGACACAAAGGAAAATGGCCTCACAATGATGAGTACATGGCTGTTAGAATGAGTCCTTTTAAATTACACTGGGTAGGAGAGCTAACTCGAATTGAACACACCTGAGTGGGGTCATTTGTATACTTTCCATAAACAATGCTTCTCTTGGGTTATGATGTTTTATGTGAGGAATTATGAATAAAAGCTTTGATCTTATTGAAACCTTAGCGGTTGTTCACCTTCCCCTCTGATCTCACTCGGTAACAGTCTTTCCACATTCTGTTTAACTACAAAGCCTTTTCATAAAGGCTTATTCATTTAACCCTCCAAGCTGGGGGTAGGTCAGGTATCATTAGTTCTGTTTTAGTGATGTGGATGACAATGGGAGGTGGAGAGGTCAGTAAGCAACGTCTAAAGAATTCTAAAGAATCATCTTATTTAGCTACTTGGTCCTGTCCATTCTCCCCCAGTTCTGCAAGCACAGGTAGTTCGCACCTGCCAGAAATGAGGAAAATGTACTGGATTTTGAGTTGACATTTTTACTGCTCAGGGTGCTGAGGGTGATGAAAAATGATCAGTCAGAGGAAGGCTGCAGGGGAGGATGGGACAGCAGGGGCCTGCACTGCTGGGTAATCGGTACCTGAATAAGAGCCTTTGATTGTAGAATGCACAGTTCCAGCAGTTCTCAGGAAATTCCCTACCAATAATTCTCAATTACCAGCACAACTGGACGAAAATAGCATAAAAGAGCCAACAATCGCTACTTCACTGGGCTCTAGAAATAACTATTCAGGAATATAAACAATGAAAAAAATATGCTTGATCAGTAAGAATGAGTTGTTGATCCCATTTTTTTCCCCTGAAAAAACTTGGAATCAGTCAAGCCTCTGATTAAATTCTGAGTCCACCGCTGAAGAGCTCTGCAAATATGGTCAATGGACTTACTCTGCTCTGTGGATTCTTGATGTACATTAAGGACAACTGCAGTGCTCACCTCATCAAATGGCTGTGTGATTTACAAGACAGTATACATAGCATGCCTAACCCAACCTAACTAATATTATCATTATTGGCATTTAACACATCTACCTTGTCATGACAGACCTCAATACCATCTTTTGCCTGACTATACCCACTAAGTGAATTTTTCCACTAGCACCTGTAGTGTCAGTTCTCTTTCATTAATGACTGTGCCTCAAGCCAGATGTAGTCTTTGGGAGATGGACATTCTTTCTCTTGGGCCTCTCTAGAGTGCCCAGTACTGTGTCATGGAGATAATGGGTGTTTCATGGGATGTTTCTGTGTTAATGTCACTTCATTTCTAGCTCTGGCCTCATTCCACTTTGTCCTTGTTACTGATAGCGTACAAGTTAGTGGAGATGTCGGTGCATAAGGCCTGGCAGTGGGGAAGATTGGACACAGGCCCCACTACAACAGTATGTGTTGGAAAGAAGAGGAACATAGGAGTCGAAGTGGCCAAAATTAGGTTTCTTCCACTTAGTATGTTCTTGGTATAAATGAAGGATATGAGGTAATGGTAATAGTAATATATATTGGCACAAGGAAGGGACTCTCTTCCTTCTTCTACATTAATTACATCAATGAAATTGAACACATTTATAAAGCCATGGGTTCGAACCAGTACAGTTACCTTTGCGATACCTAAGCCATGCTCATACATGTAGGCCAGATTGAACATGGCTTGTGCACTGTGATACTTGTCTACTGCAATGCTGTAATGGGTGGCTGCTGTTTTATAGTCTTTCTTAGTTCCATAGCCGTAATAATGATAATCTCCAATTTTTACTCTAGCAAATGCATTCCCTGTGAGAAATATCAGAAAGTAAGAATCATAACTCTGATTCACATGGAGTTCCCAGTAAGTCAGCTGTACAAAATCATACATATGCATATATATGTATCCATGTGAATTACTCAAAATTGCATGATCAGGATTATATACAAAAGCTTTTAACTTAATTTTTGGGGTAGGGAAACTCTTAGGAAACTGAACCCCATCTTTTCCATCCCCAGAATTCATTCCCCAAACTCTACTCTTGTCTGGCAGTAGATCCATAAAGGCAAGGAGGGCCTTAGTTACTAAAATTGGTCCAGAGTCTTGACAAATATTTATGGACTAGATAAACATGCTAGGATGTTTTTAGAAAATGCTTTCCCTGGAGTTAATTTAGGATATTGCTTTTGAACAAACATGGATATATATCAAGGAGGAAAAAAACCATACTACTTTTAAAGATATATGACATCAGTCTTTTGAAGTCCACTTAGAAATGACTTTGACAGTGTATGTGTGTGTGTGTGTGTGTGTGTGTGTGCGTGCGCGCGTGCGTGCGTGTGTGTGTGTGCGTGCGCGCGTGCGTGCGTGCGTGTGTGTGCGTGCGTGCGTGTGTGTGTGTGTGCGTGCGTGCGTGCGTGCGTGTGTGTGTGTGTGTGTGTGTGTGTGTGTCTTATGGGGGAGGTGTCCATGCTTCTGTTTCTTAAAAGAATGTGGGTTGAAAGGATGATGGAAGCCTCGTGTGAGACCTCTTGTCTTAGCTGTGGTCAGCCCTTCACATCAACTAGGCCTTCTTGGAAAAACAGAAAGTGCCATGTGTGATAGGGTCTGAGGTGTGTCTTGTGATACAGGACTCCTTCCAAAATTTTCTCCCTATTTGGCCCAGTGCAGTGGCTAATATATTTTTGGAACATATGCCTTTGGGTAACAAAGTTCTTTTAAACTTTGAGTCTCTCCTATTAAAGTGTAGATGCTTCAAAGAGATGTAACACCATGAACCATTTTTGTTTCTCTCTGAGTAGAGCTAATGCTATAGAATCCTCAAGCTGAAAAGACATTTGTTGTTATAGTTTGCTTCCTAGATACCTCAAACAGATGTATAGGCAACTGAGAACAAGACTATAGGAATGGCACCCAAGCAAAGGTAACTATAGAGGCCAGAAGAGACAGGATGCCCTAAAGAGAAACCCACTTCCTCTCTAATTTTGTCCAAAGGTACCCTTTTGACCCCAAAGTTCCTTCTGGGCCATTGTCACCAAGGAACAGGAGCACTTCTGGCATTTTTAAACTTTGTAATTAAAAGCAGGAGCCTCAAGTCTGTGAGAATGGAGGACAGTAACTAGGCCTGTTCTCAGAGTACTCTGCTTTACCCTAATGAGGAATACTAAGTTCTAACAGGCCCAGGTTGGGGGCGAGGGTTGTGAGGGGCCATTGACTGGAGAAGGATTTCTGCTACTCCAACTTCAAGTCGGAATGTAGTACCTGAGCCCTGATGGCTCAGTGGCACCCTCTCCACATGAAACAACTGCAAGAAGAAACACAACCATGACTAATCGGAAGTTTTCATTACTGGATTCCCCATCCGCATCGAGCCACTCAGCAGCCATACCTTTGGGAACATGTGTGCCTGACCCCCTCATGACACATGACTATTTTCAGCAGCTAACTTTTAAACATTTATGTATTGTTTTATATGTTGTTTTCAGCCCCACTTTTAAATATTTATATATTGGGGAATTCTATTTAATATTAGTGTTTTCTCATTTTCAACTTTTCTTTGGTTCAATTTCCACGCCATTTCCTGGCTTGAAATAAACGTGTATTTGTTGCAACTGAGCTGGTTTGCTGTGGCTGAGCGAATTGCTGGTGCTGTTTTCCCACTGCAAATATGGTCTTTATTGCATTTTAGAAAACATAGAATTTCTCACTAAAATCACATTGATGGCTTGCCACTGTCTTACCAGCTCAGCTGGGTCTGAGAAGGCAGAATTGTGACTTTTCCTTTGCCTCATATTAGCATCAGCTGAGGATCATTTTTCATCCTATTCACTTCCTGTTAGAAGGCTTGATTCGGCCTTAACAAGAGTTGATTTTAAGAAACCTAATTGGAAGCAAAATTGCTCTCTTATTGCAAGAGTTCCTCACATATCCAAATGCCAATTGTGACAGCTGTGCAGCATCTCTCTGCTTTTAATACTATAATTTCAGGGAGAAAATTGGAAGAAACATGGTGATTCAAATGCCACCTGCCAATGCTGTTCCAAGCAATGATATTTTACACTTACCACATGTGAAACCAATAAGTGGGAGGGTATGAGAACGTCAAGAAAGGACCTTCCCACTTAGATGTATGTTTGTTTGTTTTTTTCTTACATGCTAATGGATATAGTAGAGGTCTGGTTTGTAGTCATCCTCAATGTCACATTTTAGAAAAAAGTCAGGTACAGCTACAGGATTAATTTTGCCTACGTACTCATACAGACACAGGTCACATCTTAGTTTAGTTCAGTAAACAAGTTGGCAAATGAATGACTAAGGCCAGACCAAGAAAACTGTTTTCTCAAGTAAAATTATCATATTTCAAACAACAGTTCTGGTGCCATGGAGACAGAGCCTTAGAAAAATTCCTAGGGTTTGCTAAACCAAAAGACTTGGAAAATAACAAAGAAAATAAATTCTTGGAAATGACCCCTAACACAGTGTAATTCAAAGAGCCACCTGCTTGATACTCTGTACCTCTCTGCCTTGGTGTCTAAGAACACAACTGAAGCAAATCAGATGAACGATAATGGACAGGGTCCAGGCCTGTGCTTTTTTTAATCTAAGTTTTATACCTTGAATGGCAGCTCGGTTCCATAGTAGCAGTGCCATTGGATACATCTTCTCTTTCTCAAGAATTTTAGCCTTTTCTAAAAACAGGAGACATTCCATTAAAAAGGCTCAAAAGCCTATGCAATGATACCATATATGCATATGTATGGTTGCGGAATTGAAAAAAATTTAACTTCTCTTACTAGATTCCAAAATGAATGCTGAATTGCTTTGAGCCACTTCATATCCCATTTCTGCAAGTAGTGCATACTGAACAAGAGAAGAGTCCACGTCGCCATCCTTATAGGCAAAGTAAGCTGTCAGGAATTTCTCAGCCCAGTGGCCTAGTTCACAGACACCTTTATAAAGCTGAATAGAAATCAGACTAGTTAGCTAATATACTTCATTCCAGACAGTGATTGGTGGACCTTGTCTTCAGCTTTTGCTGGCTGCTCAGGCAAAAACTGTGTCTAAAATGCATGGTTTTTGCAAGTTCTTTAGGGTGAAGAATGAATACTTTTTAAAGGCACAAAGATTCCCAGGGTAGTTTTTTTGACTGGAATGAAACTTTCTCAGGCTCATTTAAAAATTTGTATAATAGATTTTCCTGGCTCAGAGGCTCTTTGACAAGACAAGAATATATCAATCACGGGGTTGGGGGGTGTTATTGACACTGTTTTTTTTAAGGCACTTCTGCTCTACACCGACAATCACAAGGCTACAGCTGATGTGGAAAAAGAAGAACGAAGGGAAGACAGCATCTGAGGGTCTAGGTGACAGAACTGGGAGGGAGGTATACAGAGCTCCGTGGGGACAAATGTCAACTTAGCTGAATAGCCCTTATGTAACCAAAAGAGGTTAGCCATACATAATTCATTAGGAAGTTGGCAAAGGAACAAATCTAAAGATAGATTATTAGCTGGCAGCTTTTGAAATGAGTTTCAGAGGGACAGATTGGAATGTGGCGGTATTTGTGCTGGTGCAATGGACGTGTTTAATAAATCAATGAAGGGCATTAAGGTCCTAAAAGCATTCTTTTGAAAAGTACATTACCCGTTCAGGCTTAAAGGCCTCATTTTTTCAACTGTCATCCAAATCATCAAAAACCTAAGGACCCTGGGAAGCAGTGGGCTATATTTTCTAGGCTAAATCAAGCCTTCCATTTCCTAAGTAGTAACTCCCAACCTCACTAGAAGTGCCTGATTGTTCTAGTGGTTTGATTGAAGGCTGATACAGAGCTCCTTAACTGAATTCTGAGGTAAACTCTGAACATGATGAGAAATCAAATTTAAGAGAGGAGGGGGTCATTTTCCTCCCTTTTCCGAATCTAAGCAGCTCCTCTGTTTTTCCTTGCTGACAAATGTTGGTGTTCATTGTCAACTGGAAGAGTTAATAGCTATAAAACCAAAGGCACGAACCTCTGCATGGCCAATTAAAGGACTATTTACCTCCACAGCTGTTCTGCATGATCTTAGCACTCCTGTTCCCGATGCATACATCTCGGCCAGATAATAAATGGCAAGGGGCTGCCCACTCTGAGATGCCAAATAAAAATATTTGAAGGCAAGTTTATAATCCTTCCATACTCCAGAGCCAGCTGAAAATTAAAATTCTGTTAAGACAGTCCTTATTTTTTTAAACAAATACTCTATGGATATAACGGTCCTAGTGATAATCTGCTAGTCAAACAGACATCCACAAGTCAAACTGCTTCAGATCCACTATTTGTAAGGCAGGTAACTGAGTTAGGTTATAAGTAATGTTACAGAATGTGGAACAGTATGGTCTTTACATATTTGGAAAACTAAGAAAGAAAAGCTGCTAAGTTTCATGGACAGACTTCCTCAGAATGGCAGAACTCAAGTAATGGAATCTGATGACCACTGTGATCTTCTTACCCTTCCATACCAGGATACCTGTAGAGCTCACCCAGCCATAAGCCACAAAGCAAGCCATCCCCAGGTCCAGGAAAGCCAGCTCTGTCTCAGCTCATGATTAGAGCATGGAGAAGCCTACTCTGAGATGCCACATAAAAATATTTGAAGGCAAGTTTATAATCCTTCCATACTCCAGAGCCAGCTGAAAATCAAAATTCTTTTAAGACATTCTTTAGTTTTTAAAAAACACTCTATGGATATAACAAGTGACGTAGAGTCAGTAGATTCCCAGCAGCAGAGATTTTTGTCCCAGATCTCACATTACTTCTCTTTTTGAGTCATTCACATCTAGGAACGTCACTCCCCAAAGGGGGGAATTTCCCCTAGGTTGATCTTACATTCCTCTCCAACTCTAATGTTTTATGGTGTTTAGCAATAGTGTCCCACAGGAATTAACCACAAAAGCTCAGCTTGACATGGTGGTACACACTGTAATCCTAGCACTCTGGAGACTAAGGAAAGAGGGTGGTGAATTTATGGCCAGCTTGAACTACACAGTGAGACTCTATGTCAAAACAAACTAACAAATGAATAAAATTTTAAAAAGGATAAAAACTCTGGAGGCAGTTTGCTTGAATTTGAATTCCAGCCTGACATCGTGGTCTTGGACAAGGTGTACAGCCTTGATATGACTCAGTTTGTTCAGCTGTAGACTGTGGGGCACCCTGCACGTACGTTGAGAGAGTTAAATGAGCTGAAACATGCAAAACCTTACTGTAGCCAGCCATTACGGTTACTCTGTCCCGGAAGCTCGAGGAATCTCACAGATTCTGAACCAAGGACTTGGAATGAACTAGAAGAACAATGCACAACATAGTGCCAAAACAGGCCCTCCTACTGGACCACTGTGGGAAATGTCACCTGACCTCTTGCTAGATGTGATCTACTTGATAATACAGTTAGCTGTTGCCTTGGCTCCACCTTCGATATGAAGGACTTGGTGGGGACATGTTCAGATGCCCTGGGAGTGTCCTGACCACTTCCTTTTTCAGTCCCCACAGAGACTATTGCAAAGGTTCATGGTTTTCTGAGGTCCTTCCCCAACCACTCCACTCTTGTTCTCAGAAGGCAACCCGTGAAATCATTGAGAGAAACTTTGCTTTGTCTTTTCTCACTTACCCTCCTACCCCATGTTTATAGACTTGTCCTTTCTCTCCTCCTTCCAGGGGTCCAGGATGAGAAATCCCACTTCTCTGTGAAGACTCAAGAGACCTCCACCTACCCGGGACCCATCAGATCCTAATACCATCACCATTTCCTAGAACTTCTTTCATCAACTACAGTTATGCTCAGGTCCTCATCGCTTAATAGCAGTTTCTTCTAGGGTTGTATATCCCTTCTCTTTGGAGGCATGCTTTTTGAAATAACGTCTTTATTTTTCACTCATCTTCCATTCACACCCTAGCCCATTGTCACCTGGTTTTCATCCCACGAGATCCAATAATCTCACCAACCTTCTCCATATTGCCCAAGCAATAAGGTTACTCGGTCATTTTTTCCTCCCTCCCCTTCCCCCTCCCCCATCTTTTTGTCCTTCTGCTCTTCTACTACGACAGCCACTGTGCTTCTGCTACATTATCCATAAAATCAACACAGTCTCGTTCATATGCTTTATCGGAAAGATTCTTTTTTGTCCTTTTGAATCCTTTTGGCCCCTCCTCTCCATTCTGTTCTTCTTAGTAATCTCTCTTCTTTTATTCATCCTTTCAAGATGGTGTCAACGCAAAGAGAGCTGCCGCCTCTGCCTCCGATTGCTGGGATTAAAGACGTGCACCACCACACCCAGCTTTTGTCCTATTCTTTCCTTCCTCTTTGCAACCTCAGCTACTCTTAACTCACACCTGCGTCTTTATGCCTCTCAAATCTTTCTCTCCAACTTTGACCTTCCTTGTGAGCACTGTAGTTGCTCCTGGATTTGTGCATTGATTATCACAAGAACCTCAAACTCAACCTTGTCAAAGGTAAGCTTGACTCTGAGCCTACTTCAACTAATGTCCTTTCCTTTAGTTTTCTTTAAAGCTCTCTTTAAACTGTTCCCTGAACTTTCTTTCGAAGACACTTACATCAACCCTTTGATTTCTGTTATAAAAGAGCGGATTTACTAATGCATATGTCATTCTAAATAAAGCAGCCATATTTGTAGTACCTACAGTAGTACATGAAGCCTAACTGGAACTGTGCATTGGGCCATCCTTTCTCTGCAGCTTTCTGGAAGTATTTAAGTGCTTCACCATAATTCTGCAAGATAATTGCACCATGTTACTCAAAGCCGTATGCATAATTCCGTGGTAACAACTGCTTTTCAGTTTTTCTTAAGAGTATAGTCAGTGCCCTATAGGCTAATTAAAATAGCATCAGAAATAAACATTTTCATTATTATATCAGATTCTATAAAGAAATAATTATTCTATTTTCACTATAAATGATATTTTTCTGTATTTATAGTGGTTTTGTTATGGGGAAGGTCACTCAAAAGTCAGACGAAGCTAAGAAGATAAATTTCTCTATCAATAAAACTCTCAGGAGACAGATATTTCAAAGGCTTATTTAGACTCTGTGATTCTCATATATAATTACAGTTACTATTCTTGCCACAAGTTTGTTCCTCTGTGTCTCTTTGGCAAAGATTTTACTGAATTATTTTATTCTCTATCAGATAAAATAGTTTGGCTAAGCAGGTAACAAAGACTAATTCCTATACATTAATGGATGAGCATTTGCTTTAACCCTATAAACTGCTAGATGTACACTGAAGGGATGATAAAAATGTTTAACTTACTACAGGAACACCTTTTCCATAAAAATGAAGGAGACCAAGTCCATGGAGACCAATTGCATTGCCCTAGAGGAATTTTAAAAAGCCAGAAGAATTTGTGATAAGTAAAAATATTGCCAAATCATTCAAAATATTTGAAATTCACCCAGTGAGAAATAACCATTAATCGGGCAGTTGACAGGGTATTCTGACCTATCTTGTATCTTTCATACCTTACAAACCCTCCTGACGGCAGAGAAGGAAATGGAAGTCAATGTTTGCTAGTCTTTCAACACTTAGTGCTTGCTCGGTGTAGGAGCTGTGAGGTGAACCTATCTCCGCCGTGGAGTTTACAGACCACTGGGTAGGAGCCAGAACAAAGAGGTCTGTCACCTTTCCTCCCTCCCTCCATCCTCCCTCCCTTACTTCCTTGCTGCTTTCTTCCCTCTCTTCCTCCCTTTCTCTTTTCCTTCCTTTTCTCCATAATTTCTTCCTTTCTCTTTTTAATTTTTTTTTTTTTTTAAATTTGGGAGGTTTCACTCAGTAGCTCAAGCTGATGCCAAACTCATGATCACCCTACTGCGTCTCCTGAGTGCCTGTACCACCATGCTCAGTTAGATAGGTCTCATTTCTTAAAGTCATACCAAATGTGTTAAGTGCTGAAGTAAAATCAGTTGAGGGTGTTGTGGGCAGCTGAAAGAGGGACACTTAACTACCTGGTTGAAGCTGCGGGGGGTGGAAGACTGAGTTATTACACTACTGACATCTGAGCTGACTCTCAAAGGAGGAATCATTTTCCAGAAGGAAAGTCTATTCAGACAGTTTTTACTTACTTTGGCCAAAGGAAGTGGGCAGAAATGGCCAAATCGCATTTCAGAAACTCTGTGGATTTCAATGCAACTACTAGAGACAGTTAAGAATTGTTGGTGTATTGGGGCAGGACAGATGGCTCAGTGTTTAAGAGCACTAGCTGCTCTTACAGAAGACCCAGATTTGGTTCTCAGCACCTACATAGTGGCTAAGAACTGTCTGTAACTCCAGTTCCAGGGGATCAAATGCCTTCTTCTGGCCTGTGTGAGTTTGCATGCTTGTGGTGATGTACTTACATACATGCTAGCAAAACACTCATACACATAAAATAAATATAAATATAAAAATTAAAGAATCATTGGTATATGTTTATTCAAATTCAAGTGCTCATAACATCACCAATGTTTTCTTATCTACTTGATGCTAAATTACCATTTATTTTTCTGATTGATAGTCTAAATACTCTAAGAAGGGGATGTATTTAGTCTTAGAAGGTCGTGCTTCCTTTAGCATATGTTCAAATGTATTGGTATTTAGCATATCCATCCTGGATGAAGAGTGAACCTTAAATATGACTTCTCCACAGGCAAGATAGATCAGCAAGTTAAAGTGTTTGTTGCTTAAGCAGGAGGACCAGACCTCAATCCCTGGAAACCATGGGATCCATGGAACCCATTGACTGCTGAACATTGTCCTCTAACTGCCACATATACTGTGGCACACACACACACACACACACACACACACACACACACACACGGCCTCCCCACTAGAGAGCTCACTTTTTTCTTATTGCCCTCATGCCTCTGATGGCTGTGTAAGGAAGGAGCCAAGGCTTGGCCACTTGGCTTTCTTTCAGCAGATCTGTCGATTTGCTTTACAGGCTTACAGAATTTCCTCAGGAAGTTAGGTTTTAACAAAAAGCTCTCCAATGTCTTGTGGATGTAACTGGAGTACTCCTCGGTGACCCAGGAAGAGCATATAAAAAGAGAAGGCATGTTTCAAACACTAAGATTCCCAATTCTAAGCCTATGCATTTCAAAGAACACACTATTCCAATATTTTAAGAATTCTTTAGGATATTCCACCCATATTAAGTAAGTGGAAAACCTGCTCTTCCTGTTTGATTTATTTTGTGCTGGGTTTTAAACCTAAGGCCTTGTACATGTGAGACAAATATTCTTTCATTGAGCTATACCCCAGAACTTTCTTCTTCCCTCTTTCTCTCATATCTACCCATGGTTTCTGTAAGTTATGAGTTACCCTGTCATGGGAATAGTATAACCTACTGGGATGAATGTGCAGAATTTAGTGAGCCTGTTTTCTAACGCGTCATTTAAATGTTGAGGAAAAGGGAATGGAAAGAAGAAAAAAGGGAGGAAGGAAAAAAGGAGAGTGTTAGAATAGCCAGGGCAAATTGCTTTCCTTCTCTGGGAAGCTGGATAACAGTGGTGTTAAGGCCAGAGTACCTATTTGGAACTCGAGGTGAGGAGTGGCCCACTCAGGCATCTCCATGCTCTATGCTGGTAATGTAAGGCGTCATTGTAGGATGCTGTCTTCCAATCATAACAACCATCATTGTCTTCATCAGAGCAGCTGTGACTACTTGCAAGAGACCCTCAAGGTAGGGCCTCCTGATGTTTCCCCACAGAAGGAAGGAGGTCATTAGGCTCTCACTTGAGATTCCAGCCACTCCTTCCTATGCCTCCCTCCCAGCTATATGTAATTCTGCCTCAGTTGCATATGGGCTTTTGGTTTTGGGAGGTGCTAAAGTATATAGAGCTTGGGAGTCTAACTGAAGGGAAACGCTATCTATGCAGTTGGAGGAGGTCATCATTCATGCTGAGGTGAGACTTCCCAGGGGTGTGACTGCCTTGGGGTCACCCATGGTCTTCTTGTAACCCTGACCAATGCTCTGTAAGTGAGCCCAATAAATTAATTGGTTCATCAAGTTGGACTTTTATGGAATTGTATTTTTGTCTGTCTTTGAAGTCTTATCTAGGGTGAGTAGACATTTGTTCACATCTCGCCAGGGAAAGGTCACTCTACAGGAGTACCTTAGGCCAGGAGATGGAGAGAGTAGAGGAGACAGAGGCAAGTCCTGCTTTGGTTCCTGCAGAGGTTCCTGTTCTAAGGACAGCAGCAGCTAGGCAGGTACTCTGCTTCAGCCAGTTGTGACCACACAGAGCAGCAATCCTGCATGGTCAACTCCTAACATTTTCAAAGAAAAGCTGAAGGTCCAAGTTATTTTTTTCCCACATCTGATGGGTAATATGCCAACATGGTAACAAGGTTACCATGTTACACATGGTGTGAAACCCAGTTTTCACAATTATGAGCCACAAAAGGATCTGAATGTCCATAGTTTGATGTGAAGTTTACTGACTTTTATAGAATTTTCTAGGCTACAAAAAAACAAAAAAAGCAACAAAAAAAACCATGTGTATATTTCCTAGTATGCAACTCCAAATATACCATTTCCTAGTATACAACTTCCATAGCAGTTGCTCTTCACTAGGTTAACTGACATGAGCCTAGGGAACAGATGGTCAATTATTTGACATTTAATGAACCCCAGCAACAAGGTAGGACCTTAACCTCAAGTTGAGGAGACAGTAGAAAGGAAGCCAAAAGACAGAGAGTTATAGAATCCAAGCAGTAGAGAGAGCAAGTAAGGGGCAAATTCAAAAGAAGGAAAAGATTTTTGTAAGCAAAAGTGTCTAGGGAGGCTCTTTGGAAGGAAAGCCCATTGAGCTCTGCTCTGGGTGTGAGCAGGGCTTAGAATGGGAACTATGGGAAGGGAGGGGTGTGATACAGACTCGGGTGGGTCCATGTAGTCTGCATAAGACTGAGGATCAGAGGAAAATGGGATTATAGAATTTTTTTATACAAGCCCTTTTTTTAAACTTAAATGCTTATAAAAAAGAGTTTGTAAACTCTAGCTTTTTGTCCTGATACTGATAAAAGTTTAAAGCAAATGAGAACAGCACAGACACAGACATACACATAATTTTTTGACACAAGGTAGCCCAGGTTGGCCTTGAACTTGATGTGTAACTAAACATGACCTTGAATTCCTGATCATCCTGCCTCTATCCCTGGACTGCTGAAATTACAGGTTTGTGTCACCACACCTGGTATATGTAGTGTCGGGGATTGAACCCAGTATTTCATACATGCTAGGCAGGCAGTCTGAGACACATCTTAACCCCAAGAATGATATATTTTTTTCAACTAACAAAACAAGAATATGCATGAGAAGTCTTTGTCCAGCAATGACCACAGAGTATGTGGCTGTGCCCAGCTCATGCCATTCAGAACAATTACTTTAAGTACAGTTCTAGAATTCCTTGATAAAGATGGAAAGCTAAGGTTAAAACATGACTGACCCGGATCACTGCTTTTACAGAGCCTTGAGTAGCTGGGGAGCTGAGTCAATTTATACACCCAGCTTTCTGGCATTATTCCTTTGGGCTGACAAATCAGTATTATTTGCCAGATTATAAGAGATTGTCCTTAGTCACCTCCTTTTCAGCCTGCTCTCCCTTGTCTTCCTAATCTAATGGTACTCCAGATAACTGTCTTGCTGAGCAACAGTTTCATACAAATTATAAGGGAGAAGAGCTGAGTATTAGCCTTCTCAGTAATTTACACCACAAGAGCAGCAGCTACAAACTGCTAGTCATTTATAAATAGGCTCCTAAAGCCAGTGTACGGGCTTTTAAGAACTGAGAACAGTTGAAAATATTCTTGAGCCAAATGTATATTTGGTACCAGTGCTGCATTATGAAATTGTAAGAAACAAAGTGCTTTCTTCCTGCTGGGGAGGAGGGGGTTGAAAGTTTACCAGGGCCATTTTCCAATATTAGGCTAATGGGTGTTGGGATGAGGACTTTCTTTGAGTATTAAAGGGATTCAGGGTAGTCTACTGGATTTGATCTGACAGATACCAGCTTCACTGAGCCTAGGCGCAAAGGCAAGGAATCTGACAGGAGACATACTACAGATGCCCCTCAGTTGCTGTGGGGAATGGACTCCAGGGCCTTCAAAGACACCAAAGTCTTCAGATTCTCAAGCCCTGCACATAAAATCACAGTATTTGCCTATAACCTGCACATACCCTGGGGACTTTGACTATCTATACATATCAAATACAATGTCACGGCTGTGTAAATTGTTGCTATACTGCATTTTTTAGTGAATAATGGCAAGAGTTTTTGTATGTTTAGTATAGACACAATCACAACTTTTTGATCCATGGTTGGTTGAATCCATGAATATGGAACGTGGCGTGCAGAGGCCCACCTGTTACACCCTTTCTATATTCCCTCACAGCTCCAATCCATTCTGCTTTAGCTATTCTTCCAGGTTTGCCCCCACCTAACTGCAAAAGACAGCAGTAGAAATCCAGCAATTATTACATTCTAGGCACTGCATCAGGTGTTTTATAACACAAGGTATACATATAACAACTCCTTACATCCTGGCAACAACATCAAGCAATCTTACTGATGCGAAAAGTGAAGCACAGGTAAGTTAGGTAAGTTATCTATGGCCACACAGGGAGTAAACCAGAGACTCTGTCTCTAGAACCATGTTCTTAATTGCCTTGGCTTGGTCACCTTCCTGACAATGTCCTTCCTGGGCGGGTAGAGTGCTGGCCTTTAGACAAAATGTGCCTGAGGAACACTGGACATCTTGGTTTCTTTTGTCCTTAACTTACTGCAGTTAGTGATTAAAGTGTTCTCTCCACCCCATCCCTCTTATTGATGCTCCTGAGTTAGATGGCTTCATTATTGTGCCGGACAGAGCAAAGCTGAGCTTCGGTCTAGCTTTCTGATGACTCCTACAAGGACAGCACAAGTCAATGTCCTTTTCATTAACCAAGACGGAAGACGGGCCATATCACCTTGCCCCGACCCGGTATTTCATTGTCAACTATATATTTCTCCAGGACACAAAAGTCCTTCCAGCCTTATTGTCTGGGCTTAGGGCTTTGAAGTCAATTCTTAGATATCAGTCTGCATATAATAGAAGCCAATCACTTTTCTGTGTTTACCACAGTGAGTTGACGGTATACCTTGTTGGCCGCCATGGAGAAGTACTTGAAAGCAGTGGCATTATTCTGTGGTGCAGCAGGATTCCCCTCTAAATACATCTAAGGACACACAAAAAACAAGTGTAAACAGCAAAAGCACTTATGAGTGAGGCAAACATTTAAAAACTGACTAGCAATAACGATGGCATAGTGTCGTGAATATAAATACTAATGAACTGTCCATTTTTGAAGCAGTAAATTTTTAGTTACCTGAATTTTACTCCAAGTAAGAAAGGAGAAACTAATGTTATAATCTACTATACACACTCTGGAATGATCTTGCTCCAGGGCAAAGAAAGAGACCTTACTAGTATTTCCTTATGTTCTTTGCATCTAAATTACTATATGTAACATTTTTGGAAGCAGGATGCTAATCCCCATGGTTACTAATGCAAATTGGCTGCAGCCCTGAGGGATGGAGGGCGTGGTCTCTCTAATAGAGAATAACCTATCATGCCTGGCATAAGGACTGATTTTTGTTGTTGTTGTTGTTGTTGTTATTTTGAGACAGGGTCTTCCTGTAGCCCCAGCAGGCCTGGAACACACCATGTAGACTAGGCTGGTCTTGCTCTCATAGAGATCCGCCTGCCTCTGCCTCACAAACACTGGAATTGAAAGCGTGTGCCACCATGCCCAGGCCAAGGACCAATTTTGACTTTTGCTGAGACAGAGCTGGTTCTCATTCCAGGGGTGGAAGAAAGAGGCTCCTGACTGGGTTGAGATCTGTACCAGTCTCTGATGTATAACTAGCTTGTTGCATGTTGGATCTGGGGGAAACTTATGGGCTCATAGCTACACTCTACAGAGAAGCCCTGGGCCAGGTGCATTTTCAAGGCTGTTCTGGGTGTCTCAGATAAAGCCTGATGTTCTGATAGGTTTCTTCCTGACCTATCCCTGCAAGCATACCACTCACTGGTTGCAGCTGAGAGTCTCTTCAGCTGCTGCCATGAAAGAGGCCTGCAGTATGTTCTACCTGACCATGAGTTCAGTCAGCTGTGCTGTTCATTTCTTAGGTTGTTTGTGTATGTATTTTGTTTTCATTTGTTTGTTTTGCTCTCTACAGTGCTAGGGACTGAACCTAGGGTCTTGTACATACTAGGCAAGCACTCTGCCACTCAGTTCATTGTTAGTTCATTTGAGAACATGTGTGTGGTGTATGTACATGCTCATGTGTATGTGTGTGTACATGTGGAGGCCAGAAGTCAATGTCTGATGTACTCCTTGATTGCTCTCTACCTTATATAACACATTTTTTTTTGTCAGGCATGGTGTTGAATGTCTTTAATCTTATCACTCAGGAGGTAAAGGCAGGTGAATTTCTGTCAGTACAAGGACAACCTGATTTATATAACAAGTTCTAGGCTAGCCAGCGCTACATTATAAGACCCTGCATCGAAAAAATATGTTTCATTTGTATGTATGAGGAGGGTATAGCATGCATGTCACAGCATCCATGTTGAGATCAGAGGACAACTTTATGGTGTCAGTTCTGTCCGTCCACCTTTACATGGGTTCCAGGGATTGGACTCCGATCACCAGGCTTATGCAGCAAGTGATTTTACTTATTGACCATCTGACTGGCCCCCCTACCTTATATTTTGAGGCAGGGTTTCCCACTGAACTTGAAGCATGTTGATTTAGCTAATCTGGCTGACCAATGTATTCCAAGGATCTGCCTGTCTCCACTTACCCAGAGCTGAATATCCATGGCCATCTTTTTTTATTTGGGTTCTGGATATTTGGTTGGGAGCAAGCACTTTACAGACTGAGCCATCTCCCTCATCCCCTCATGACTTAGCTTTTTAAAGAAATGAAGAATAGTGATGAACTTGAAGCATGTACCTTTCCTATAAATGCCATGGCATTTGCACTCCCAGCCTTTGCCGCCTTTAAAAAGTAGTATAATGCTTTCTGGAGAGAAAAGGAACAGTATTATTGCCAGTCATAAATAAATCCTACAAAATGACTTTTTGAACTAAACTTTATTCATTCAATATGCATTTAAAAAAATCTATGAAATAATTACTTTTTTCAAGGTATTATTCCAAGTGTTATTTCAACCATAAACCTAAAGAGTGGGTGAAAAATATGTGTACTGAAGCGTAGTGTGTGTGTGTGTGTATATATATAAATTTAGAATGTGAAGACTTGTTTCTTCTCACATTTGGAAAAGCCCGATAGGCATGTGGCTTTGTAGGGAAAGATGAATCTCAGCTATAGATTTAAATAGTCCATTACTTGGGAAAGTAGGCTTCTATGTACTTCTTTTACAAGACAACTTGCACTAGAGTTGGCAGAATTCTAATATTTATAAGGCAGAATAAGATGAGACACACCTGGCTGCTTGCTAGGATATGTCTTTCTGTAGAGGCCAACTTCAAGACAATTTCTTCTAAATCAATTGAAGGAGGCCAACATAGGCTTTTGTTTTTCTAGGTCATAACATTAAACAGCCTAGAACAAATAAAGGCTGACCTTATCCCTTGATGCTGCATTCTCTAGGACTCATCCTGACTTTCTAGAAAAATACCTGAGAAATAAAGGTGAGCAACTCCAGGAATGAGACTTAAAGATGCCTCATTGTTATCTTATTAGAACACAAGGTTTATGTTCTTTTAAGTCTTGACTAGGTTATGGGCAGTGATATGCCCCTTGCCAAAAAGGAGTGATTAGGGAAGAAATGCTGGCAAGGCTTCATGTGAAAATTTTCTCTGAAAGTGTTCCTGGCTTACTGAGAGCCATTTTCTTATAAGGGAGTCAGTCTTCCTTGGGGGACATAAGTACAAATGCCACCTTTGCTGGATTTCATTGCACCATCTTTTCCAGCCTTCATTTGTCCTTTTAACAACTTGATTTAAATTTGCTATATGCATAGTGGTATTTTAGGTATTATGGGTGATTCACACATGAACAAAAGCATGATCCCTTAGCTTTTATGGTGCCAGAAGGTGCTAGGCAGACCAGTTGGGGGAAAAAGCCATCAATGGTCTTTCCCAGTGCTGGCTCATGGCACATCGTGGAAGAGGGGGTTGAAAGAATGTAAAAGCCTGAAGGTGTGGAAAAGTGCTATGACATCCTGTCTTCTGGACATGCAACATGGTTGTTGCACTCATGAACTCACAGTGGCCATGGTTACCTGCATAAGACCTAGCACAAAATCAAGACAGTCAATATTACAGTATGGACTGGGGAGGGCCAATGGATGGGAAACAAGCCCTATCCTTAGCTGAAGAGCTATTGGCAGTTGACGATTGCTAGGGAAGACAACAGTCAATTTTCTTCAAGGGTTTGGCCACTGGTACCTCACCCATGCTCAGTGGATGGCTCCATACCCATGTGCATGTAGGCAGCACTAAAGAGACTCAGCAAATCATAGAAAAAGCAGACATGAAGGTGGGAGACGAATGTATTGGGGGAGAGGTCTGTGGGAAGGAGTGGGCAGTGGTTATGATCAAGATACATTGATAGGGACTGGAGAGATGGCTCAGTGGTTAAGAGCACTAGCTACTTCTGCAGAAGATCTGGGTTTGGTTCCCAGCACCCACATGCTGGCTAACAACTGTCCATAACACCAGCTCCAGGGGAGATCTGACGCCCTCTTCTGGCCTCTGCAAGCACTGCATGTACATGTTACACTTATATACATGCAGGCAAAACACTCATACACATAACATAAAAATAAATAAATAAAAAACAAAGATACATTGTACGCATGTGGGAAAACTGTCAAAGAATAAATAAAAATATTTAAAAAAACAAAACAAAATAAAACGGTCCCTACATTTGCTCCTTGACAATGGTGCTGAAAAGAAAGGAATGCATGTTAATAGCAATGAGTGTGGGTGATGATAAAGGGAATTCCCCCAATTAATTAGATGTGTAGATAATGACAGAAGATTGCAAATTATATCTGGTTTCCTAATAAGTTTTTACATGGCTTTTCTTTCTGAATCCTCATACTGTCATAGTAAGGAAGATAGTATTAATATCTGATCCTATTTTCTGATATTTAGAGTCATGCAGCCAGAACCAGATCCCCATAAGCTGCCTGAATACAGTTCCATGTCTTTGGGACTCTCCCTTCATGGCATAAAGAGGAAGGCTAAAATGACAGAGGCATCACAATATAGAATCAATCAGATTGTCAGGAGCAAGAACATCTCCATCTTCACGGGAATGTCCATGCTAGGTCTAGGGAATCCAAAACATATTCAAAATGAAATCATATCCAAAAGCGAAGCCTTGAAAAAGTAGAAGGCTTTACCTTTGAACAGCCTAAGTATTTAACTCAATTTGTCAGAAAAGTAAACACTACTGGAGATTTACAAGCATTAGGGAATCATGAAACTAAACTGTCTGGAATAATTGAAGTGTTAATTAGATAGAAAGTTACAACAATGCACGATTTGCAAATTAGAATTGAAAAAAGGCATTTCTTGTTAATGTTTCTCCCATCCAAGTACTAACTAGGCCTGACCCTGCTTGGGTTCAGGTTGGTCTTGCCATGGACTCTTGTGAGTGTTTCTGAGCTAGAGCTAAGTGTACATCCAGATAAGGGTGTCATTTATGCAAGTCACATTCTCTGCAGGTCTGAGCTCCTTGTTTAGATTCCCCTCTTCATGTTCTTGAGGCACTCTGTCCTGTTCTTATCATGACATTCACCCACTGATTTAATTGCTTATTTTGTCTTCTCCAATGTTGGTTCCTCTATACTTAGCATAGTGTCTACCATATGTTAAGCACTCAGAAAATATTTCAAGAATGAATGACTGAATGAATATTTACACATTTCTAAAACAAAAGAGCTTTATGGAACGTGTCAGCCCAAGTATTATGGTTGTATGAAATAATTTCAAAGTTCAGTTTAGGAATTTGGCTATCAGCTTGCAACAGAGTTCTGAAAAAACTTCATTCTGGGAAAAGATAATTTGAACTTTTAAAAATTTTTATTTATTTTTTATGTGTATGGGTGTATTGCCTGCATGTGTGTAAGTGCACTCATGTAGTGCAGTGCTGTGTCGGATCCGGACAGTTGTTAGCCACCATGTGGGTGCTGGGAATCGAACCTAGGTCCTCTGAAAGAGCTCTTAACCACAATCAGTGCTCTTAACCACTGAGCCATCTCTCCAGTCCCCAATAATTTGAACTTTTAAATGGAAATAATATACTCAGAAACAAATAAAAGTCCGGGAGTTGCCCAACTTTTCAAAACTATAATTCCATAAAGTTTCAAAGAAATTACATTTTCTTAGACATTTCACTGATCTGGCTTTCTTGGAACTTCAATTCATGGTTCCTTCTTCTAAAATTTACCTGTCCCAGTGTTCTTGCTTCAGTTGTATAAAACATATTAAGTACCATATGAAAGTGACATGCAAGCCACTTGATGGATTTACATATACAAACCCGAGTTGCTGCTCTCCAAGAATTTTGATGGGGCTGGAGATGTAGCTAAGCTTGGAGAGTGCTTGCCTAGTGTGCACTAAACCCTGGATTTGATCCCCAGCACTGCATAAACTGGGCGTCGTAGTGCATGTCCGTAATCCTTGCACTTGGGATATGGTGGCAAGAGAATCGGAAGTTCAAGCTCAAAATCACCTATATAGTCAATTTCAGCCTTAGCTACTAGCTATATGAGACCTTGCCTCAAAAAAAAAAAAAAAGAATTTTAGATCAATTATCCACCCAGACATGCATTCATCCTTTAAATATTTATTGAACAAGGCCAGAGAAGTGACTTGACTGGTAGAGTGCCTGGACTCACAGACCCTGGATTTGATCCCCCGTACCACATTTAGCTTGGTACGGTGTACAAGATTATAATCCCAGCACACAGGTGTTGGAAGACCAAAAGTTCAAGGTCAAGTTCAAGATCATCAGCTACATAGTGAGTTTAAAGTCAGCCCTGGGCTACATGAGACCATGCCTCAGAGAAAAAAGTTCCTGAGCATTTGTCATTATATTTTGGTGACTCTAAGATGTACATTTCCCTCTTCCATTTTAATCAGGATGGTTCTTACTGCCAGTGGGAGGTTATAGTTTAAATTTTATATTGACAGTTTTTTCTTTCTCAGTAGAAAATGAAATAATGGTCTGTCGTACAACTAATGATGCATTATTATAAAAGATTGCAGGTCCCAGGCATTATAGTAACTTAAGTTTTATTATTTAACTCATCTCTCTCTTTATAAAATAAATGTGGCTTTTCATAGGCTCTAAGAAAATTCCCAGTTTAATCAGTTTGCAATGTTTCCTCTAGAACAAAAGCAAAGAAAATGCACTATTCTGAGAACATTTATAAACTCTTCTTTTATCCCAGGCTCTGTAAATCATTCTGAAAAGGGATGACATTAGCTCTTTCTTTTAAGGGGTGGCAGAGAAGATGAAGCAGTTGTGCTTTTAGTTGATATTATTTCTCTGCCAGTTTTAATTTAATTATGCTGTATCCATTTAAATAATATGTACTCAAGCACCCTGATTTCCCAATCAAATTCAGTCTGAGCTTTTATATATTTAGGAATGCAAATGAAATTAAAATCTGTGTATAGAAGAATTCAAGATAATGCAATCAAGAATTGCATAGTCAAAAATTTTAATAGTTGAGAATTTGGTCAGACAGAGGCCAAAAATGTTGCCTGTGACAACAAATTCTAAGAAAGATTAATTCAATCAAACAGTGAACAGTGGGGGGGGGATAGTTATTCCTAAGTACTTTGATTTTTAATTTGTTGATCATCAAACTGGGGCATCACATTTAAAATGAGCCTTGTAAATAACAATTTATTCAATAGACTTAAACAACATTTCTGACTGAAGTGGTGATTTTCAGGCTGAACGGCAGCATCCAATGTTTCAGGTGCCAGCATTCGCTCATTCAGTATATATGTACTGAGTGCCTTGCATGCACCAGACGCTGTTCTGAACAGGAGAAGTACAGTAGTGAGCAAGATGTACAAGGACATAAATTCTCCTGGGGGATACAGACAACAATGAAGATCAGTATGATTAAGGGCATTAGTTACATGCGCTCTGAGGAAAACAATGTGGCATATAAGTGCTGGGAGAACAAAGTTATCAAGAAACTCCTCTCTGAGGAAGTGAGACTTGAAGAAGAAGCTGCCTCTCAGAAGTCAGCTTCATCCTTTATTCCTTTGGTCCCTCTCCCCTGTGGATAGCTAACAGCATAAGCCAGTCGGGCTTTAGGTTTGAAACTTTTGAACCTTCATGCGTGTTCAGGTTCACTAGGCTGAGGAGCAGACAGGACCAGCCCGAACTTGCCCTAGAGTGTCTGACCATTGGGAAGGTTCTGGAGATAGACTCACATTCTTGGAATGTCTACATGAGAAACCTGAGGTCTGACCAACTATTAGAAAGTTAGAGATGAAGGAGCCTCAAGTGATCACGTCCTTCTTTCTTTTTAAAAAATGAATTATTAGAGGCTGTATTGTGGGAAGGGGGCAAAATGAAATGATATTAATGGAAACAGCACAGCTTTTCAATGCTGAAAGCCTGAATTCAAATTGTGCTTCTTAAGCAAACTGACTTTCCAGCTGTAAGCCTTGAAGCAGCTTGCTTTATCTCTACTCAAGTGTAAACATACCTAAGAAAATCCCAGCAAGTGAGCTGCAGGAGATCCTGACTGGAAGATCCTGACTGAGATCCTGACTGGAGGATCCTGACTGAGATCCTGACTGGAGGATCCTGACTGGAGGATCCTGACTAGAGGATCCTGGAGGTCCTGGTGATGCCTCGCTCCTCCACTGCAGCCCTGGAACCCTTCAGTGCCCCCGAGGGCACTTGCACTCAGTCTCACCTGAGGTGACTCCAGCTCCCTTCAGGTATTTATGCTGTGTATGGCTGACTGAAGGTACATTTCTTTTGGGGAGGGGTGTTCTGTAAAAAGGCTGGTCTGACATCCTTAAGCCAACCAAAGTTCATGTTTATGGAAAATGAGAAGGCCTTCCCAGTTATGTACCCTACGACTACCTTGAGAAACTCACTGTAGGCCAAAATCTGACATTTGAATAATCTTATGAATTCAGAACTCCCATCTAAGGAACTGAAACATCGCTTTTCAATTAGGTTGAACTAGCCCTGGAAACCCTCACTTCAGCTGTCATTGGATGCATATGCTTATGTAAATTGCTGCCTGTTTTATGAAATTAACTTTGACATTTACCTATTGTTTACTGTCTCTCATGTAAAACAGAAAATGCAGTACCAATGACATACATAAAATAACAATAAAGAGTCAAATGCAAAGTAATAGTACTACTTTTTTATGTAACACCATACAAAGCAGTGATTATATCCCTTTTGCCATTGGGGTTATGTGAGACAGAGACTGCACTCCCTTGAGACAGTGAGCACACACAAGGTTCCTGTAAAATGACAAAATCATCTTTAAAAAAGAAGTACACTTATTTTTCCAGGTCTGTGGTGATTAGTGCCTTGAAATTCCAATCAAAATCTAGACAGGAACTTAGCCTGCGATGCTGGTATCTGACTGAGGAGGGTCCTGTATAGGTCAACTTTATTTCCTCTTTTTCCTTCACTATGTATTTAGATGGTTAATTAATCCTATGACCTCACCATGATAAAGCAAGGCTAAGCAGCATGATTAAAAGGAGTTTGCTAAAAGTATAATGATGCTTAATGTACTGAAAATTATAGTCAAAAGCAATCTGCTCTCTGATCTAGCCAAATCTGATGAACTAGGTCCTCGGGCTGCTTAGCAAACTTCATATGTGGACTTTCTGCAGCTGGCCATTGAGATGGAGACTGTTCAAAGCCAATAGGTGGGAGCATTTTCCTTGCTCAGTTCCAGCTTGATAGAGTGTGGGGGTGGGGCATGGCCAGGGTCTGTATTGGCGTGGGACACCTGCCTGCCCCAGTTGCTCCTCAGAAGTCATTTTGTGCTTAAAGGAAAATCTTCCTGCTGGTGAACTTGGCTCTTCCTCAGAAGCTAGGAAGCAGATCTGATCAAAGGGCTTTCCCTAGTCACCCTCCCTTGTCACTGGCCCTCCAGCCTCCCTCAGCACCACCCTTCCCCCATAGGACTGAAGTTTTACATTGACTTACATAGTAATCCTGATCTAGACCTTTCCTCCCAATTAGATGTAATTGTCCAAGAGATACCTAGAAATGATGATTTTTGAAAAGATTTTAGCAGCAATATTAATTTAAATAAAGATAACATTTACTTGTTGATTTTACTATACCATGTTGATTCAGTTTGAGGTAATTGACATGTTTTGAAAGAGGCAGGGAAACATTCCAGACTATGTATTTTACTGAATAATCAGTTACTACTGGGCATATGGCTTCCTTAGTGGCAGAAAGCCTGCCAGCTGGTGTATGATAACAACCAGGCTCATGGACCAAGGGGCCTTAGCCCATATTTCACAAAGTTCACATAGGTTAAGTCCCATTCCTGGTCTCTAGGAGTATATCTATATTAAAAGCAACACCAGAGATACTATTTTCCCATAACTAAAGTATAGGTTTTTAAAAAGTGAAATTATCAGGAAAAACTGTAAAACCATCATCATCATCACCATCTTGCTATTACTATGGCAACTAGCTCTTGAATAAAGAACTGTAATAGCCAGGACAAAACAGAGGTGGTGCCTAGAGTAGAGGTGTCTCTCTCCCTTCACATTCAAGGTGGGATGCTGCTAATCCCTTTGGCACTCAGAAAGAGCCAGATCTCTTGTAATTGGCATGTTCTAAGAATGCAGTCTCTTCTGTGTACATTACTTGTATCTGAACATCTCCTCTTTCTGCCAAAAACTTATAGTATTGGTATATGTCCCAATCCAAAATCTCACTGTTGGAACTCAGATTTTCAGTTCTCTCAGTTAGTCTCACTTTTTCCACCGGAATACCTTCACTTTTTTCCAGTTTGTCAGCAACTGTGAATAGAAACAAGCCAGAAAATAGTTAGAAAATACAGGCTACAAGAGGTAACAGTCAACACAGAGGAACTGCGGTTAGGTTTATTCTGCCTAAATTGTGCCGAAATGTGGTCTACTAGCGGGAAGAGCCATAGGAAATAAGAACTTGTTGATTTTTTTTTTACTTGGCTCTGAAAAACACGAACAAGTCATTTTTCATATAGATATTGTCAATCTTTATATGACATTTTATATGAAATTTATATGAAAAAATTACCAATATTACTTTTGTGAATATGTGGATAAGGGAGCCTTAAAGAGGTTTTTAGAAGGAGACTGCTAGCCCCCTCTATGCTGACCTTCCCTGGTCAATGGAGCTACAGTGTAAGAGTAAGGACTGCTCAGTTATTTCCCATGGATAGACTGAAAATAAACAGAAAGATACATATGCTCAGACACTCAACTGTTGAAATGTGTACATAGCAATTGCTTCATTAAGCATATGAAACAATCTTGCTATAAATATCCTCTTAAATTCAAGTTTTTCAAATTCTTTGTTTTCTCATGTCAAAGATAAATGTTTACATATTACTTTGAATACAGAAATTAACCAAACTTCTTGAAAGACTTTTACTTAAAGTCATATGTAATCTATTCCAGTGATGTAAGATGAGACGTGACACACAACTCTAAAAGTGCTTCTAGAAGCATAGGTTACCCTTGTACTCTGTTTTGTAGACTAAGCATATGGTAGTAGACTAATGACGGCCTGAGCTGCGCCCGTGGTTCCTCCGGTGTGTGTGTGTCTTCCACTTGTTTCATTACGAACTTTTGTTTTCATTCTTATTTACTTATTTTTGAGTCAGGGTCTCCTTACAAAGCTCTGGCCGGCCTCAAACTTTCAGTGATCATCCTGCCTCTGCCTCCTAAGTGTCCAGACTTACAGGCACGTGCCACCACGCTCTCAGGAACTTCCAACAAGCTGTCAGACATTGTACAGATTAGACTTAGGGGAACCACTAGGAAATTGTTGGTGCTGCATTTAAATTCTCAATTTAAGAAAAAAACATCTTAAGAATAAGTAAACCAGAAATGTTTGAAGATATATATTTACAAAAATAAAACATGAATGCAATCATTTAGAACTTTAAAAAGGTAACTATTGAGGAAGCTAAAACTCCACATTATATTAAAAAGACTGCATTACAGCAGGTGTTAAGAGCATATACATTTACTATTTTCACAAGTGTGTGTCAACTAGTATTGGCTGGTATGTGTGCTCAAGCAGGTGTGTGTGTGGGGGTGTGTGTGTGTGTGGGGGTGTGTGTGTGTGTGGGGGTGTGTGTGTGTGTGTGTGTGTGTGTGTGTGTGTGCGTGCGCGCATGTGGAGACCAGAAGCCAACCCTGGGTTACATTCCTCAAATGTTGTCCACCTTAGTTTTTGACACAAGGTCTCTCACTGGTCTTGAACTCACTAGTAGATTAGGCTGGCTGGGATTAGCCCTGTCTCTGCTTCCCTGAGACACTGAGATTACAAGCATGTACTATGCTTGGCTTTCTAAAATTTTTAATTGTGGGTTCTGGGAACTGAATGGTCCACATGCTTACACAACAAGCACTTTACCAACTAAACCATATCCCTAGTCCTGGTATTGATTTTTTAAAAATTGCTTGGCAAGTCTGTTTCATTTCTAGTGGTAGGGATTGAACTCAGGGTTTTCAGCATGTTAGGAAAGTATTCTATCATTGAGTTGTGCCTCAAACTTCAAATCTGTTTGTGTTAAAATTAATTATGAAAATTACTCACTATAATCTGCTACTTTCTTGTAATGATTTAGGGCAACTTCACAATTCTTTAGAACATTGATTCCTGACAAATATCTGTAGCCCTAAAACACAAGCATATATACATATTCTTAATATTCAGAAGTGCTGTAGTTACAATTCACCTATTTTCACTTAAGAATATTTAATTTAGGGGCTAGAGAGATGGCTCAGTGGTTAAGAGCATTGGCTGCTCTTGCAGAGGAGCTGGGTTCAGTTCCCAGCACCCACATGGCAGCTACCAACCATCCATAACTCCAATTCCAGGGAATCCAACACCCTCTTCTGACCTCCATGGGCACTGCAGAACAGGGGTACACTTACATACATGCAGGGAATACACTCAAACACATAAAAAATGTTTAATTTACAAACCAGAATCATCTGGGACATCATGCTTCCTCCAGCACTTCCAAAGGTATAATATATCAGTGCCTAAGGTACAAAAATAATTATATTGATTTTCCAAATTTGGAACTCACATCAAGCACTACTTTTTCACTCCTATCCCAGTAATGAGCCTTGAGCTACTCCAAAATAAATCCAAAGTTCAATCTGCTCTGTTAAGACAGCTTCCATTTTTGGGGAGTTACCAAGTTGCTGAGTCTGTGATAAGGACTTGGCATTTGGTATTTCAGTTTATCATCTTAAAATCATAAAGGAGATATTACCTACCTTCAATAAAGTACCTGATATATGAGACAAATTGTTAAAAAAAAATGTGGCAGATTGCTTAATTTCCCTGTTGAGCTTCCCGGTTGAGCTGGTGCTTTTAACTACCACAGTAGAATAAGCCTTTTTAAGAACAGAGTCCGTTCAATGTTTCTTTTAAATAAATCAGTTTTATTCTTGAAAAAAGTAGAATTAACTTTACCTTTGCTTGATCATAGTCCATTCCAATTCCATAAGAAGACAAAAATCCTAATGCCTAAAGTGTAAACAAAACCATGAAACTGAATGAATCAATTTGTTTCAAAATTTTTTGTCTATATTGATAAAGGATATTTTGCATGCGCCTGCCATAGTAAGTTGTACTTTTAACTTACTTAAAATATCATAACAAAATGCTTTTGTTAAGGTTTGAGAATTTTGGAAAGATTACAATATTGGGAGTACTATATAATATGTGTGAATATAGGATAATTCTTACTGTACTTTAGAGTAAAGTGTAATAATGAAGTATTATAGTCAGCCATGGTGGTGCACATCTATAATCCCAGGAGGCTGAGGCAGGAGGATCCTGAGATCTAGGTCAACCTGGGCCACATAGCAAGCCTTTGTCTTAAAAAACAAAACAAAGTAAGCAAACTAAAAGTCATTATAAACCAATGGTTTCTATGTATTTTCCTTTGTTGTAAATAAAAATTTTGCCTTTGTTATCTTAAAATTTTAACTTGAACTTTCTTTTCCTTTTCCTTTTTGTGATATGGGAGGCTGAACAGAGGATATCACACATGCTAGGCAAATGCTCTGCTACTGTGCTATGGTCTCGGCCCAAATTTGGGTCTTTTTAATTCATATTTTTAAATTAAAATGAGATTGAGGTAAAATATTTAAATGGAAATATATTGAATACAGAGTGAAAGTCTGGTCACAAAACAAGATGGTGGTTTGGAAGTCCCAATCTGTATCCCCCACCAGACATAGATGTCATCCAAAAAGCTTTCATGAAAACTCTAGAAACAAGTTAAATCTGTACATCATTGTGATGCACCAAACTGAAAGCAGGAGATTTAAAGCCCATAATAGGCAGTTCCCAGATGGTTTGACCTGTGATTTTTCACATTGCAACGGTGTGAAAGTGATACACACTCAGTTGAAACTGTGCTTCCAATCTGAGTTTTGATATTTCCTTGGCTGTTGACATAAGATACTGTACTCCCAGGATGCCAAGCAGCATCCCAAGCCTCAGCTCCCAGTCAGGATGTGTTTTCAGGGAAGACTACCGACACGGTGATGTACTGTGTTGCTAAGCTATTGTGTGTGGAAAGCGATGTGTCCTAAATGCATTTTCATGTGTGCTATTTTCAGTAGGTTTTTTGGATCTTCCAGATTCATTTTTTCCAGCAGCTTTCCACTGGAGTTATTCTCAGTTCTTGTCTGGACTATGTAGTACAGTAGTACGCTTGTCCCCCAATTCCTTCCTCATCTGTCCACTACTGTTATCACTCCCCATCTACAATTATCAAGCTCATATTTGTGGTTTTCATGGGGTTTATAAGAATGTCATGTGATAATGTCAAATGTTAAGTGTATTGGGATACATCAAGGTTCAGTAATTCAATAACCTCAGAAAATGAGTAACTGTATTATACTTTCAAGGACAAAGACCAGTGATACATTTTAAATTAATTAATTGTGTGGTGGGGTACACATGCATGTCATGCCTATGGAAGCTGATGACAACCTCAGGTGTTGCTCCTCAGGCACTGTCCACTTTTGTCTTTGTTTTTGTTTTTGAGATGGGAGACCTGAAACTTACTGAGTAGGTCAGGTGAGGCTGACTGGCCAGGAAGCATCAGGAATCTCCTCCCTAATGCTGAAATTACAAACACATGGTACCCACTCCTGACTTTTCTTATGTGGGTTCTGGGGGTAGGTCCTCATGCTTGCAAAGCAAACACTTTACCAACTGAGCCTTCTCCCCAGTCCTGTGTTGCTTGTTAAATTAGGAAACTGGCTTCAGAAGGTTTTATTTCTTCAAAAGCATAGTAGTTGTAATACAGATTTATTAGTGTAATGTGTCATTTACATAATCCATACACTGAAAAATATCTTATGATTCTGTAAATCTTCATGTTCCCCTTTAGTCTTAAAAACTCCTTTTAAAGAAAGGAAACCCTGAATATAACTGCTAATGGAAGGCACCCGCAGTCCTGGTGCCCCTTGAACCTTGTAATGTTATTTTAAACGGCTACACTGGCTCTTTTTAAGGAACTCAGTAACTAATATTGGATTTTTTAAAAAATTTCTTGCAACTCCTGGCAGTTCTTGATTCTGCTCAATAGAATCTGGTTGGGCTATGCAGAAGCTGACAGTAAACAAACATACTGACCTTTTAATGTGAAGTATCATTCTATTCAGTTGGGCTTGCATTTAAGACCTCACCAAGAAGTGCATAACTTTGGGGAGAGCCTAGCACACATTTTGGTCTGATCCTCCTGGAAAAATATGTAAACTCATGAAGTTGTGAAGTGGATGGTGTGGGGATTAAATTTCCATTCTGTGACTAGGGGAGAAATAGTCATCTGTATAAAGCTCACTCTAAGAAGACCTGGGATCATGATTTTACCACTCCTACCTAGCCAGGCCAAGGCCATGTTGCCTCTCTCTGTAGCAGAACAATGACAATGAATGGAGGGCTCAACATTCAATTTATTTTTATTATTTTTATGCTGCATAAAGCATGCCAGGACACTGGAGGAAGTTGAAAGATGTTTTGGCCAATCTTAACTGAGGAAAAAGCATGCTGTGAGGTGAGAGAAGCCGCATAATAGTCGTGACATCCATGACACCATCAGTGGGTTTTAAAGGTCAAGTTCTGCAAACTGGATTGTTTATAAGACTTGACTATGACTCTCTCCAAAGCACTGTCCATCTTCTAGCCTTGTGCCCAGGCCCCCTCTTGGTCTTCCTGCTTCAGATCTCAGATCTAGCCCAGACCCTGCCCACCGAGTCCCACACCAGCCTTAGCTCTATGAATCTTCCTGCTCTTTCTACCTGAGACCTCCTCACTACCCCACCAGAACCCAGCCACTGGATCCCCATAGCTTTCAATTCCCTTTGCCCTGTCAGAGAGCATTTCACTAATCAGCTTGGAACCATCCTGTTCCACCAATAAAAAATCAAAAATGAGAACCCGAAGCACACACCGACTATTCATACCTGACAGAAAGCAACTAAGCTACATCAGCAATATAAAAAGAACCAAACTTCAACTAAATAAAGACAGAATAGAATTACATATCAGACACAAAACCAACAAAAGAAATCCATATGCCTAAATGACAATGCAAAAACACAGATAATATGAAAAACCAAGAGAATACAATAAACCCCACCAGTCCTATAGAAGTGTACTACAATGAGAACCACTCAGGGGCACCCCAGGATGCAGAATTTAAAAGAACAATCATAAACACCATCAGAGAACTTAAAGAACACATAGACAACTCAAAGAACTCAAAGAGTATAGGAATAAACTCCTGACTGAAACTCAAAAAAATACAAATATATGACTGAATGGAATGACAAAAACAATTTGGGTATTGAAAAGTGAATTCACAAAAGAGATAGAAATATTAAAACCATATGAATGGAATATGCAGGAAATGTGGGACACAATGAAAAGACCAAATCTTCATATCACAGGCATAGAGGAAGGAGAAGAATCTCAGGTCAGTGGCATTGACCAGATCTTCAACAGGATTATAGAAGAAAACTTCCCCAAATTAAGGGAAGACATACCTATACAGATACAAGAAGCACAAAGAACACCAATTAGACAGGACAAGAACAGAAACTTCCCATGGCGTATCATAGTGAAAACACCAAATGTACAGAACAAAGAGAGGGTACTGAAAGCTGCTATAGAAAAACAACAAGATACACGTAAGGGAAAACCCATCAGAATTACAGCTGACTTTTCAACGCAAGCTATGAAAGCCAGAAGAGCCTGGACCAAAGTATTCTCACTTCTAAATGACCACGGATGCCAACCCAAAATACTTTACCCAGCAAAACTATCTTTCATAGTTAAAGGGGAAAGAAAAATTTTCCATGGCATGAATAGGCTGAAAGAATTCATGTCCACCAAACCAGAATACTGGAAGCAATACAAAGGACCGGAAATAGGAATGACTATACCCAAGAGGTTACAGAAAGAAAACAAAGGAAGACGGAGGCTATTACAGAGACTCACAACTGATCACACACAAAGAATATGTGTCTGAGAGATACCCAGCCCTGAGTGACACGTCTACAGTGGAACTGCCTACACTTAAGATTCATGGAACATAGTGGAACGGGGTAGAGAGAATACTAATGCATCCCTCAACTCTCATCAGCGAAGCTTTCTCATGCAACAGAGCACAATGCACACAGAAGGCCACAACTTGCCAAAGAGCAGAGAATAAGAGACTGCAGATTACGTGCCCCTGGATAGGACTCCTACATTAACTCTCACCTACCCATGGCTCAGAGGCCATTGTAAAAGAGGGGGTGGAAAGATTGTAAGAGCCAGAGTTGGTGCATAAACATGAGAAACAGTCTTTCAGGCCACTGGGAACTTGCTCATATGAACTTGCAGCGTGGTAACAGCATGCACAAGACCCATGAAGGCTCAATCAGACAAAAACCCAGCATAGAACTGGGGAAATGGGCAGCAGGTTCCAATCTTAGCTGAGGAACTATTGGCAACTGATCACTGCTGGGTGAGGGAGACGTGATCTTTTTTAAGGGAGTGACCCTAGATAGGCTGAGTACACTCCAGTGAACTGAGAGACATCTGATTACAAAAACTTGATAGACTGACCTCAACATATACGACAGAATGCATGAAAACTGGTGGGGGCTGAAGATGGGGGAGGGGGTCTAAATATGATTAGGATTTATTCTGTGAAATGCAGAAAATTCAATAAAAATATACATTAAAAATAAAAGATTAAAAAGACGATTTTGTATTCAGCCATGTGCTACAGTTTTTAACAAAGCATTATGACATCTAGGGTTTACTATGAAGAGTTAAAGAGATATATTTTACTGTATTATAAAGAAAATTCCTCAAGGTATATAATAAAATTAAATATTTCTCCTTTTATTTTTTATAAGAAATTATTAGTTGTGGTCACTGATCATTGTTTTCATCTCAACACATGCCAAAGAAAACTGATCTAATGAGTAACTCATATACTTTCTTCTTTTTTGTTGTTGTTTTGGAGATAGGGTCTCACTATGTATCCCTGGCTGGCCCTGAACTCACTATGTAGACCAGGCTGGCCCTGAACTCATTATGTAGACCAGGCTGGCCCTGAACTCACTATGTAGACCAGGCTGACCGATCTCACAAAGATCTGATGCCTTCTCTCTGATTCTCCTTAAAGCCAGCAGCAAGCAATTGGGTCAGAGGAAGGTCTGGATATGCAATAAACCTCAACCAGGTGTAACTGGCTAGAGGTAACCACATTAAAGCAACTAACTGGGTGCAATAAACACATTATCTAGAGTGAATAGATGACTTTAGCTCCAAATCTATGTATTTTACATACCATTCGTATTAATACAGAATTTATTTTCTGGGCCCAATATTTTTGACTTTGTATCAAGTGCTTGAGTTAAATATAGATAAACAGTGCTTTTGATAATACCTTTATTCTAGAAGGCATGCACATGTCACTCCTTCTGGGAAGCATCCTTTACGTGCTCTAGGCAGGTCCAGTCAGTCTCTTCCAGGCCTAACTCACTTTACACTTGCCTTAACTATAATCTACCTCAATTGTTCTGCAACCACTGTTTCTATTTCAGAGTAATCTAGAAGGACTTTAAAACCTGTTAATCTTTGTCTCCCCATCAACCAAATTATGATTCACACATAGTAAGTATGAAAAGAGAAATAGTTATTGACTGTTGATTCAATTTATTCATGAACTAAAAACAAAATACATATTCACTAGAGTGAAAAGGAATTAAGTGATGTAAATGGTGGTAGCATTTAGAGCTTTATATTTTTATAGTTTTGTTTAACCAAACCAGGAAATGGAGATTTAACAGTTGCATTATTTTATTAACATTTACAAGTCTGTTTATTGAGTTCTTTTATATAGAATTGCAAGAAAAAGTCTCTGGAATTAAACACAGTATCCATCAACATAATTAAAATTGTGTGGATCTTTAAAATGATGATGCTGGTCTGCATAGAAATGTCTACATGGAAAGACAGTCATAGTATTAAGTGAATAAAGAGCAAGTACGGAGCAGTAAATAAATGGTCTAATTTTTGCAAAAATATTCCATATAGTCATAACATCCTAGAAGTATGATAGTAGGAAAAATAATTTTCTGAAAAAAAATTTTTTATATGTATGAGTTGTATTGCCTGCATATGTGTAAGTGCACCCATGTCATGTAATGCCCTTAGAGGTCAGAAGGGGGAGTTAGATTCCCCTGGAACTGGAGTTACAGACAGTTTAGTCACCATGTGGGTGCTGGGAATTGAACCCAGGTCTTCTGCAAGAGCAGCTGGTGTTCTCAATTGCTGAGCTATCTCTCCAGCCCAGAACAATAACTTAAAATTTTTGAGATAGGTTCTTTCTGTAACCCCAGCTGGCCTGAAACTGTCCGTGTGGACCAGGCTGGCCTCAGTCTCACAGATACCCATTTCTCTTTGCCTCTTAAGTGCTGGGATTAAAGGCGTGTGCCACTATGCCCAACCTTTAAAGATTTATTTTATTTTGTATTATGTGTGTATGTGCAGGTTTGTACATGAGTGCTGATGCCTGTGGAGGCTACAGGAGCTGGAGTTACAGGCAGTAGCAAGTCACCCAGTGAGGGTGTTGGGAATGGAATGTGGGTCCTCTGTAAAAGCAATACACACTCTTAACCACTGAGCCATCTCTCAAGCCCCAAGAGCAATAATTTAATTTTTTTGATGGATTTATTTTTATCTTATGTGTATGAGTGTTTTGCCTATATGTATGTAAGTACACCCATGTTGTACAATGCTGGCAGAGAGGAGAAGGGGGCATGGGTCCCTTGGAACTGGAGTTACAGTTGGTTGTTAGCTGCTGCGTGGGTGCTGGGAACTGAACCCAGGTCCTCTGCAAGAGCAACCAGTGCTCTTAACTGCTGAGCCATTTCTCCAGCCCTGCAATAATTTTTATATCCTTCTTCTGCCTAACCAAAGTTCTGTCTTTCCCCAGTCACCACTCCTCCCCAATATCCCAAACCCCTTTTTTTATATAATGAATGAGCACAACGTTCCAGGCATGGAACTGAATGCTTCACAAAAACTCCATTAAGTCATTCATGACTAATTAATTAATGATTCATTCAACTTTACAGTTTTTGGGTCCCAGTCACTTTGCTAAAATTTAGAGGTACAATAATGTTCCAGACTTGGTGTCCAATGTTTCATTATTATCTTAACCTGACAGATGAAGATTTAGAGAGGTTGCCCTGCTCATCATGGGTATCTGGTCTAACTTCTGGCTCAACTAAACATACAGACTCACAGAACCTCCAGGGATCTCATTTGCTACCCACCTTATTTAGGAAAGAATGAGGCAAACGAACCACAGTGTACCGATGGGCAGCATCAAGCCTTCCTTAGCACTTCACACAATCCTCCAGGATCTGTCATTTCAGATCCCTCAGATGACTCATGCAAGGAGATGAGATTCACATGGGTTGAATTTCGGTGCAAGCCACCTTGGTGTAAATGCCTCCTTCCTCACATAATAACTCCACAAGCACAACACTAAGCAGCCTCATTAGGAAGGTCTAACACCATGGGGTTCAATAGTTCATTATAACTTCTCCCCCTCCAAAGGCAGTTTGTCAGTCAGAGGCCATTTCTATCATAAGCCATGCTAGGTAAAAACACAGTTAATGTTTCACTCCTGTCAGGTTACCTGGGAAACAGAACTAGAGAGTGAACCAAAGGTCAAATTCTCATGCAGAAGAAGGGGAAAGAGTTTTGTTTAATAAGTAGCTTATCCAATAAGCAAGCATAAAAGTGGATTTGACCTTAAATCTGACTCCATGCCTAGTTCCTGTACTGTATTAGATAGCAACAAAAGAGATCTCTGGGTAGAAATCTTTTAGATTACTTTCTTCCTCATACTTCCTGAATTCTCATACCTTTTTTAAATGGCCATGAATTCCTTTGGAAACCAGAAATTTTTTTTATAAACACTATAGCCATATGAAAATGTGCCTTAGCTATACATTAAATAAAAGTAGCTGAAATCAAAATGATGTGTGTGCTTGTATGGTAATTAGAATGGAACAAAAAGCGGGGAGCCATAGATAGAAGCCACGTAAAAATACACGGCAGTTTTCACAATAGCTAAACCAGGAAGCTTGGCTCCTGAAGGTCTTTGTTTTCTGATTTTCTTTTTCATTTGTATGCATGTGTGTGTACGTGTGTGTGTGTGTGTGTGTGTGTGTGTGCGCACGCGCGTGTGTGTGTGGTGTTTGAGACAGGAGGGTCTTATGTATCCCAGTCTGGACTTGAACTTGCTATGTAGCCCCGAATGACCTTGAACTTCTGATCTTCCTATCTTCATCTCCAGAGTTGAGATTATAGTGTCTACCACCAAGTGCAGTTTTATATGATGCTGGAGATCAAACCCAGGGCTACATGAATGCTAGGAAAACACAATGAGCTACAGCCCCGGCACCAGTTTTCTGATTTTTCTATGAAATGATTATTGGAATACGTTTGGAATAAAATACATTTATTAAAATAGAAAGAGAAATATACTTAGCTTATAAAATAATTTGAAATACAAAAGTCAGGCCAGCATCACCCTAAGATAATAGATTTTGGTCCATATTTCTATAGAGATGAACATGTTCTAAACAAAATTTAGCACTGTTATGGGTTTACAGGTCTTAATTATATCAGAACATACACACACATATGAATGATAGGAAGGTAGAATGGAGAGAAGTTCAGCCCCCAAAAGTCATCTCTGGAACTGGAGGAATTTATCTAGGGTTTCTACGGTATTCCTACCTTGACACCATTCCAGTACACAGTGGTAATGGCTGTAGGTCTGGGTTCATGTAGTAGGTCAGGAATATCATCATTCAACCCCCTTTACATGTTTTTTGTCTGTGCTTATTTAAGGATGCAGCTATTTAAGGTTTTGTTGTCTTTCAAAACTCACGTTTTGGGCTTTGTATGATCCTTCTTTAGCCAAGGATTCATATAATTGGATAGCTGCACTTATGTTTTGCATGCCAAAACTTCCAAATAGCAAAGCGTCAGCCATTTTTTCCATAGCTTTCAAATTTCCCATGTCAGCTGCTTTGGCAAAAAGCAAGTAGGCTCTGTTTTGAGAATATAAAGTCAGAAGGTTGATTCTCAAAAATGGAGTTTTCTACTCCCTCCTTTGTATGATGCAGTTTAGCTGAAATCCATTCTGTTTCTCAACCAGTGGATTTCTTTCACCTCTAGGTCAATTAGGTCAATCTAAGATTTTAATTTTAAATCTGGCAAATAACAAAGCCACTAAAAAATATATCTTATATATCTGTATATCCTTTCTATATTATGATATACCATGAGTCAAGCCTTTAACCAAGTAAAGTGAAAAATTGAAGGCTTAACCTAAAGTAATGAGCTTTTCCCATGATCACTTCCATTATTATTTGTTTTATAAAATTAATTTTGAAAAAATATAAGACGAATTAGGGAATCTGTATCATAAGAATGATGATTCATATTCTAAAGTAATTTCTTAAAACAGAACTTAGTTTTCAACACAACAAAGTAAGACAGGAAAAATAACAACCAAACTAAACTTTAATGGGTAGAACTTTAAGAGTCTGAGAGCTTGTGTTCAAATCCTGGCTCCACCACTTACTAGTTGGAAAACTTCAGGTTGATTTCCTGGTGCCTCTTTGGCCATGACATTGGGATGGAAATATCACCTACTTCATAAAGCTGCCAGAAGATGGTCTGTGTGGCATGCTTGACATAGTGCCGTATTTAATTATTACTGTTAGGACTATTACATTGACTGTATAATTTTATAGCATAATAATTGTTCTGTAATTAGTAAGTGGTGTGAAATTTTAGTGGTTAGAAATAGCATTTTCCGAATCCCAATCGAAAGTCACTTTATCTGTATAACAAGTAGCAATAGAAAGTCTAACAAGGCCCAAACATGTGTCAGAGAAAAAAAAGTACATTGGGGATTTGTTCTTACTTTTATAACTCTTTTTTTTTGTAGTAGTAGCAGCAAGACCAAAAAACGTTAACCTCAGTTTATGACCTTGGCTCAAATATAGGAACACACACACACACACACACACACACACACACACACACACAATCTATGATCGCTTCCAAGTTAAATGATCAAGAGGTTTAGTTTTCTGCACGGCCCATCTGTACTGATGCTAAGAGAAGCTGCTCTTTAGCAAAGGCTAAGTAGAATATGCCAAGCAAGAACAGCCTCAAACAGACCTCTAGCAGGCATTAGAGTCTTGCATGTCAAAATGGAGGATCTGTACTCCAGTGGAATAAAGAGAAGCGGAACACTTGGAAGCCAAAAGGTCAAGGAAGAGAGTAATCATTGTCAAAGAAAGCAAACAATGGAGGATAAAATCTCAAAGGTCAGTATGATGACTTAATCTTGATTGGCAGCTAACTAGATTAGAATCACCATGGAAACACACCTCTGGGTGTGTCTTTGAGCACCAGTGTTAATCTCTCTCTGCTTCCTGGCTGGTGACCAGCTATCTCCCAGTCATACTACATGACATCCCTGCTACAATAGACCGTACCCTCAAACAGTGACCCAAAATAAACTCTTTCTTGTTAGGTATTTTGTCACAGCAATGAGACAAGGTGCCCAGAATAGGCATCAGGAAGAGAGCCTGGCATTGGGATATAGATCCCCTTGACAACCTGTCAACATGGCTTGCTGCTACAAACCTGCAGCCTACTAAAATTCAAAGGGTACCAGCAGGGACCAGAGCACAGAAACCTGAGACAGGCTAGGGAGCATTCCACGGTGGATCCAGGCTAGTGCTAAGGGGCAACAACAGGCTTCAAAACAATCTTTTTGAGTATCTTTGATTCCATGAGCAAGGTTGGTATTATGGGTTTCCTATTATAAAAGTCCAAAGTAACACAAGAGATACTAGAAGCAGAGCCCAGGGCTGGAGAACTTGAGGAAGGATTAAGAGATAGGCTGAAATTCCCAAGAGGAAAAATAGTAGGAGAAGCTGGGTAATACGGAGAGGTGTACACAATAAAACTCAGCAATCTGCCTCATCTGTAAAGGACCTGGCATTGGCTACTAAGGTGAGTGCTAGGACATGAGGGTTTAAATGCTTCTTCAGTGCTTACCAGTGACTTGCTGTGGAACATCAACTTATCTTCAACCTCCTTTGGCTAGTAAGGAGTATCTTAGTGAAGGACCAACCCTGGCTGTCACTGCGGTTTCCTAACTCAGATAAGTTTGTTTCTCTCTGACATATTCTTGATTATCATCTATCTTTTTTAACAGTATAATGTGTCTCCATTCATATATAAGAAGACAGATTAATAAATAAACAAATAAATGAATTCAGAATGTAGATGTGGATAAGCCAAAAGGCCTAATGTCATTCCAAACAACCCTATCCTGAGAAGTGGCAAAGCAAGGAGGCAGGATAGAGGAATGAAAGGGAATAAAGTGATTCCCCTTTGATCACTAGGTATGCATTCATTTTTCTCTGCACCTCCCGCTTCTTAGATATGAATATAATTGTATGCCTGGCTTGGGTACAGAATGGGCTATCCTAACAACACGAGGGCTTTGCCGAGCTTTCCTACAAATTCCTCAAATGTCTTTTTTTGAGCAGATTTGGATTAAGTTCTCCATTGGTGAGAAGGGCCAGGGTCTCAGTCTTAGGTACCCTTGACCCATAGTTGCATCTCTGCTGCTTTGAGAACAAGCTGCTCTTCTGTCTTTCTTGGGACAAGGTTTGGATCACGTCAGTCTTGACAAGTACAGCCTGGTATAGAGGCTCCTGAACAGATGGATGATTTGCTGCTAAGACTGAATTTTGCTCTGCTGTTTATGCCCAAGAAGAAGGATCCTTTCAAGGCTGGATGAACAATTACTTAGAACCTTATAAGAGTAGATTTTCCCCATCAGTCCAAATCTAGTTTCCTTAGACTTGGCAGGGCACGCCTAGAAGGTTTTTCATTTCTGGGGCCTTCATACTATGGGCTGAGCCTGTCTGAACCCTCTCAGACTCCACTGCTCCCTCCCCTAGCTATGCTGGACTGGAAATCCCTATTTTTATCTGTCTACACAGTGAGCACTTTAGTGAGAGAACTTCTGTCTTAGGATGAATGATACTTTGGGAGTATGATTTTACTCTCTTATCATAACATCCTCCAGGGACAACTGGCACGAAACCTAGGTTTTTTCTGGGGGTATTTTTCCTTTGCTCTTTTAAAGACTGCTATTCAAATTCCCGTAGCGCTCCTTGCTTCCTTCTTGTCGTATTAGAAGAGTTACAGAGTCTTTCTAAATCTTCATTTCCTAGACTGCAGTTTGGGGAATGGATTTCTCATAGTATCATTGTATGGAAGGACTAATCGCACACATGTAAAACCCAGAACAAGAACAGCACAAAGCAGGTACATGATGAAAGGTGAAAGGAAGGTGAAGAGGCTCTACCCCTACCATAAGTAGATCAGTCCTCAGAGTCTATGCTATTGTACTTTCCTCAGAGGTTTTGGGTTTGAATCTATGGATTCTGCTATTTGACTAGGACTGGGTGTGACAGTTCTGGGATGCGTCCCCATAGCTGGTGTACCTATCCTGTTTTAATTAATTACAGTGCTGGGGATTGAACCCAGGGTTTTGCACAT